TTGGAATATCTTTTTGTGTGGTGACAGTGGCGATGTAATCTCGTTTCACAGCCGCTACACTCGCCTCAATTTCCGCATTCATTTCGAGTTGACCTCTTCGATTCGCGTTCTTCTGCAGTGCAACAGAAAATACAACGAAAATAACAATTTTAATAGCAAATATAACATTCACATCCACACAACCTTATAAAAGTTAAGTAAATCGTGAAAATTCACATGAGCCACCAACCTTTCCTTGTCTGAGATGTTTGTGAGTTTGATCGTTAGATTCATCGATTATGAACACATCAAGTTCGCACGACGGCAACGCTATATCGATCAACAGCGCCTTCACCGTCTCTCCTTTCTGCATTTTTCAAAAATTTTCCAACATTTACAAACCTAACGAAACCTTTCTTAAGACTTACGGCAAAAATACTGATAATAACATCAACAACAGCGATAATCGCAAGAGAAACGTAATGATAGCAATACCAATGGTCGCGGTAAGAATGATGAACTCAACATTAAGGGACATTAAGGGCATTAAGTGAAATGACATTGGTATTTGAATTGGATATATAATAATTTTATCTAAACCAAAAACAATACCATAAATTGGTACCTATAGTAAAAGCAATATTGTAAGTTAGCAAAATTTTTTCACGAAGTCGGATGAAAAACAAAATTTATCGAGAAGACTGCGCATACCTTATAGGTACGAGTCGGGAAATTCCCTTTACGCGCACATCCTTTCAACTTTTGTTCACCATATTCAATGATGAGCACGTCATTTAACGGCTGAATTATCGTCACACTTATTTCACTTCCCAGAGATGGTACATTTTGTTTACTTTCTAAGTTCGACAAGCACCATTCCAGATCAGCAATTGTGTATTCAAGTAAACGCATTCCCATCCAACAATAACTCTCTTCTTCAGTTGCCTCGTAGCACAATGACGGCTGTAAATAATTGTTTGAATCAATTTGAAACATCGAGAGCTAAAAATGACTATTTGGGCGCATTTCTGGTGCATATTTATTTTGCGTATTAAAGAAAAATACGATCTACAAACAAAAATTCTATGCAAAATAAATGAATGAAACGGAAATAAACTAAAGACAGAAATTTACATTCAAAAGCAACGAGAAACGTTTCCGCTGAACGTCCACTGACGACACATACGCGATAACGGTCTGACCAATTTGGAGTTCTTGGCTGGGATCATTCTCTGAAGCATCATATTTGTGAAAACATTTGATACCATATAGTTTCAAAAAAAAAACAAAAAAAAATCCACATCATTATAATCCATTTTCAGATCCAATTAGTTTAGTCTATAGGTAATGACAGTCTTAAAACAACACCTTTCAATCATCAAATTCCGCGATAGATTTCAAATTAATCGTAAAGAAAGAACAAAAGCAAAAAAACTTACTGTGAGTATCATCAGTGAGGAAGCGTGCAGGTGCCGTAAGAGCGGAACCACCGGCCAACTCAACGAAATAGCCCATTTCATGATGGTGTTGCGAGACAGTACCACAGACCAATAAACCTTTCGACAGATCATCGAAGCTCTTTATAGGGGAATGCCTTTCCAGCCAATCAATCACGAAACGTTTACTGGTCACCTCAAATATTATTCATTCATTCACCACCTCATCGCTGAATCAGTGACCGAAAATAATTTCGAGCTGGCAGTTCTTTTATACTAATCTAAACGCATCAAGATATCCATTCATATTCACATTATAATTTAACTCGTATTCAGAGATCAAGTAGGCGAATTTGTATTTGTTTGTTGAAAAGAACGACATTGGCTTTTTGCTTCCCCAGACTAAATGACAAATGCACTCGATCAGAAATGAAAAATCAACTCAGAACTCAACCAACCTTTAAGATCTTAGCATTTTCACCAAGAACAGTGACCTGCATGATTTTCGCACCAATTTTAAAACAATCTTTCAACGTATCGATTAAAGGATCGAGACTGTCACTCAACAACGGTATCGCCATCGACGTATGAACTGTTCCATCCTGAACGTGAAATCTTCCGATAGATAATGTGAGATAACATCTCATTACTGCATCAATTCACAAAGCATTCATTCATAACACAAAAAAATTTTGCACAGAAAATGACTCAATCAAACAATTTATTTCAGTTGGTAATTTCTGCTTCCGATGGAGACGTTTAAATGAAACTTTACTGCCGTCGAATGTCATAAACCAATGAAAATCAAAAACATAAACAAAAAGTCGAACGCAATAATCTCCGAATATGTGCACAATTCAGATCATTCAAAAATTCATAAACTGGCTGAGAAATCCTCTTGCAATGCAGTACTGGTCCCGTAAAATTTTCAAGAGAAGCGACGGAAACAAACTGACCAATTTTTTGCCCAGATGAACGTCCAATTCGAGTCGTTGCAATTGCTTCTGATCACTGACAGCATTCAATGTTCCAGTTANCCCAGATGAACGTCCAATTCGAGTCGTTGCAATTGCTTCTGATCACTGACAGCATTCAATGTTCCAGTTATAATGGCCGGATAACTGACAGCTGTGCCTATTCCTCGGGCAAACGCCTGAAAGCATATCATACATAGAGCATTTGATCGAGAACTTGAATGTGCAACTGAACGAATAATCTAAGAAATGAGGAGTGACAAGCCGAGAGATGTTTTGATTGAACACAAAAGGATATAACGTACGTCTGATCGAATGATCACATCTTCACTTGTAAGCGACGGATCTGCAACCGATACCAGCATACGAGCTCGCGCCGCGTCAACATTCTTGATTTTCAATTGCACGCTACATCCCAATCTGCAACATAATCTTTCAAAATCAACAAAAATATTCCTGGATTATTCGTTTAAGAACTAAACAATTCACTAAATCCCATACGTTTCGCATACCACAAAAACATCATAACCCTTGAAAAGTATTCACAGAACATTCGAATACAATGAGATATGTGTATGACAACGAATTTTATCACAAGAACATTGCTAAATGTTTATCATCCTCAAAGTTAATGT